CGTGTCCCCTGCATCAATTCTGCCAATAAAAGAACGGAAGGAAGGAGGGAAGGAAGGAAGGAAGGAAGGAAGGAAGGAAGGAAGGAAAGAAAGGGAAGGGGAAGGGAAGGGACTATTTTTCTCTTTTCCTGGCAGTGGAAGAATACTGCTCTCAATGAGCCCAGCTTGTGTGAACAATGAGTCTTTTTCCATAGAATAGAAATAATGGGGGAGTCCATCACAATGCACACTTGGTTGGCTTAATTAATTTAATTTCTATTTCCAGAACGCTCCCTTTTCCTTTCTCAGAATCAAGGTGAGGGAAGAATGGGAGGGAACAAAGATGGGAAGCTGGGAGATTGAAAAAGAACAACAAAACGACTCAGGAGCCCAGTGTTGTTTGAGAGGCTGAAAACCCTCTGAGTTGATGAACAATGTGTTGTGTGTTATATGAATATTTGTTGCAACGGAAGGGTAGCTTGAGGTCATCTCTAAGCTCACCCTGCTGTACATGGTCATCAGCTGGTTTATTATAAGCTTCAGGAAAGCCTCCTTTCAAAGCAGTCCACCACATTCAGGAGCTCTGTAAGAGTTACTTTCATAAGCCTAAATTCAGAATTTCCATAAGGACACTATAAACAAAGTGTATAGACTACATAAACATCGTTGCGGGGAAGGGAGGGCTCCAGGGTGGATATCATGGTGACATATGCATTGGCAGGAGTCGCATGCTACAGTAAATTAAAATGTAAACTGCTTTCCTTGATAGAAAATCCCATATGGAAAATGGAAGCCAGCTGTAGACTATAGATCACATAAAACCACATGTCTCTGCACCGAGTAGTAATGCTAAAGAAGGCAGTACAGGGACGCTTGTATTTATCCAGTATGCACAGTGGAGGGTGAACTTGATGTGTTGAACTTCATTATAAAAGGTGGGTGTGCAGTTCCCTAGAGGCACATTTCCACTTCGGCTCAGGTTTACAAGCCAGAATTTGTTTCCTTGTGTCCCAGAGTAGTGATGCCAGCTTCTGACAAGGGATGTGAGAAAACATCTGAATCCATAATGCGTGTTCCCTATATGCCAGACACTAGAAGAATTTTAATTAAAAACTTAAAGAGAAAAACAGAAAAAAATACAGAAAATAATTTAACAAGCGCTGTCTCCAGATTAACAAATGGTTTTTTTTTTTCCTACTTGCTTCAGATCTTAGTGCATTTGTACAAAAGATGCAAAATATTCCAGTTAAAATGGAAGCTCCTTTGGCCGTCCTGACTTCCATTCTCCTCCCTCCCTCCCCGGGGCAGAGAGGCGGCACACTGTATTTAGTGAGTATCTTCCTCATGTGGATTATGTTACTGCATTACCTCATTCAGTCCTTCCAGCAATTCTTTGAAAAGGATATTATCCCCATGTTACAGATAAGGAAACTGAGACCCAAGGAGATCAGTATTTGCCCACAGTCACACAGCAAGTAGGTAAAAGAGCTGACTCTCCAATCCAGGTTACCCTTATTCGCAACTTGTGTCCTTTTTACCGCATCCCACATCGGGCAGGGTTGGTCTTCTTTCTCATGCCCCCGGAAGACTACAGGGATTCTTCCCAGTTGAATCACTTCACCTCTGTGGATATTGATTCACAAGCTTTACTTTCTGATTCCTTAATGGAATCATTTTTAGATTTTTGCCTTTTTGGTTTGTAAAGCCCAAACATGGATCCAACCAGAGAGGGATAAAATGGGAGAATTACACTATCTTAACATATGCATTTGGGCATCCTGTCTGTTTTTAAATATACCACTGGTTCATGATTACCTTCCTGAGGGCCAGCAGTGTATCCCATATTTCAGTAGTCCCATGCCATTAGGGGAGCTATCTGTAAAGTGTTTTTAAAACCCCTCCATGGATACTTATCATTTGTTTTATAGCTATTACACTCAAAAAAGTCTTCCAGAGAAAGATGGGACAAAAGCAAAGTACAGCTTAGATTCAACAATGGTTACTATACAAACTGAAAAAAATGCTTTTGCAAAGCAGTTTGGTAATATGTATCACGAACCACAAAATTATCCATAATGTTTGACTCTAAGAACTACATTCTGAGAATCTATCCTAAAGAAGTAACCCAAGTAGTGGGAAAAGCAACATTCAAAACACTTCCTAGTTCTGTTATTTATTGAAGTCTGGAAGTGACCTAATGGTCCAACAAATGTTGTTAGATGTACTACAGGAGGACCCCTTGACTGAATCATGTATTGTCATTAAATTGATAATTTTAAAGAAAAGCAAGGCACCCATCCTCGCTTTGCTAATTAGTTGTGTTCAATTTGCCAAGCTGGTTAATCATTCTGATTTTCAAACTTTTCATTTGCAATATACAAAATATGATATCTACCTTAAAGATACAAGAAAATTGGATGGGCTAAAACATGAAATAACTTATCCCACTTACTGGCACCAGATAGTACTCATTAATTGTATCTAATAGAATGATTATCTATGAAAAAGGTATAGATTTATTGCAATTACTACAAAATAAGCCAGTAAAAGAGACTGGATTCAAATACGTAAGAAGATAATCTAATTTATGTTACATGTTTTTTATTACAGTTAAAAATTAGAAGTATCTGATTTGAGGTAATGGTGTAGGGAAGGAAACATTTTTATTCTACCCTCTTAAGTTCAAGTTTTGGAGGCCTGCAAATTAAATATAAACTTACAGGTTAAGAGGGAAACAACCAAAACTTATTTATATGCATATGGGAATACACAAAAGAGTGGCTTTCTGAACAGTAAAGATGGGAGTTTATATATACCTAACAATGTGGGGGAGGAGGAGAAGGAAAGGCTTCTATGGGAGGAACAAATGGATTTCTAGGAGAACAAATAAGAAAGTTTGTGATAATGTTTATGCAAGTCAGACTGGTCTTAGCTTTTTTCTTCACGGCCATAAAAATCCTCTGGAGAGGGGATTCTTGGCAGCCCCACTCCCAGAAATTTCTATAAAGGAAGGCTTTTTGCTGCATTTATTAAATCTTAAATGTCTTTGCTTTAAAATAATCTTTATATTGGGCGCCTGGGTGGCTCAGTTGGTTAAGCGACTGCCTTCGGCTCAGGTCATGGTCCTGGAGTTTCGGGATCGAGTCCCGCATCAGGCTCCCTGCTCGGCAGGGAGTCTGCTTCTCCCTCTGACCCTCCTCCCTCTCATGCTCTCTGTATCTCATTCTCTCTGTCTCAAATAAATAAATAAAATCTTTAAAAAATAAATAAATAAATAAATAAAATAAAATAATCTTTATATTAATTCTGGGGGGCCTAAGTGAGTCTCCACATTGACAATGAAACAGTTTTCCCCCTTATATATTAAACAAACTTGCTGTAATATTGTTAGGCAGATTTTATAAAGTTTTAAAATAAAACAATATTTTCTAGGCAGTTACTATGTAAACTGTGACAAAGGAACCTTTCCAATACAGGAGAAAAAAGCACAGTCTATATTCAGAGACCATTGCAATGGTAGAAAGAGCCCTAGAGTAGTAGCCCAAGGACCTCTGGTCACATCACAGGAACAGGGCTCACCTCCCATGTTCCACCATCCAATGGCGTGGAATCTGCTGGTCCTCAGTTTCCTTACCTAGAGAGTAAGGATAATAATAATGTCTAAATTGCAGATTTCTTAAAAAGAACTGGATAAGATTGGGGAGGGTATGTGCTATGGTGAGTGCTGTGAATTGTGTAAGACTGATGAAGCACAGACCTGTACCCCTGAAACAAATAACACGTTATATGTTAATAAAAAAAAAAAAAAGAACTGGATAAGATCTGTGTAGTTTGAAAGGTCATTACATTAATAAACGTTCATTTGTATTAGATTCTAATACTTTAATACATATGATCTTATAAATAAGGTGATGTTTTATTCATTTAATGAGTAAGAGAAGAGGGATGGTGATTAAACCTGAAACTTAAAGTGTACATATGTATTCACCCCCAGGGAACGACAAGCCGGTGTTCACCCTTAGGCATTCTGTGGCTCTAGCTTATATCAGTGCTGTTGTTTTAAAGACAAACGTGTTTTTTGTTTTTTTTTTTTAAAGCTGGAGTGAAGTAAGGGCTAGAGACCTTACTGAACTAAAACAGTAGCTACTTAAGGATGACCTTGAGCACCATGACCTTGCAAAATGAAACTGGTATTAGAGAACATTGCGCTGGATACTTGGGCCTTGTTATTTTCACAGCTCAAACCAGAAATGCCAGCCTTCCAATCTGCTGGAGTCTCTGGCATATTTATGAACAGAAACTGGCTGACCGTGGGTTCATTTTCGCTTGGGCAATCATCAGTTAGACATGGAATTTATCTGCTAATTTAACCAATATTTTCTAATATAGCCCCACCCCCCAAACTATCTATTATAAAGAATTTTCCCCGAACCTTACAGACTTACCTGGAAAAAACAGTTGAGCCATCCATCAATGTAACTATTAACTTCAGAATTGTCCTAACAAGGCCCAAATGAATATAAACATTGGAATAAAGTACCCTATGCACAGTGATTCTTTTATAATATGCTTCCAAAATTAAGCTTTTCATGTGAAAAATTATCAAATAAATAGCTGTGCTCATTTCTACAGAGATTTGCTCCAAGATTTCATTATTTGTTACAAATTTTCAAAAGAATTGGTTAAAACTCATATCTGTCCAACAGCCTGACACAGCCTCTCCTACTTTCCACAAAAATACATACAAAGAGTTTTTTTTTTCTTTTAATGACAGTCATAATACAATTTTTTTTTAAAGGGACTATTGCCAGAATCTGGGAGAAATTTCTCTAACTCCAAAGTCAAATGATAGACAAAGGCAAGTGACTCGTTGATGCTTTACCTCTGAAAATAATGGACGCTTTCATTCTGAAATATGGACACATATCCCTCATCCTTCCCCAACTTCATCCTGATTCAGACTCTTTGCCATGCAACCACTGTTCTAATGCCTAGGTAGACATTTTTTTTTTTTTTTTCAGTTTGTCTGTGTTTTATTGACGCCAGTGCTCAGGCTTTGACTGCATACTTCCGCAGCGGGTACAGCCGCTCCTTCCGCTGCTGCTTCTTGGTCTTCAGGTTCTCCTCGTGCTTGTTCAGCCGGCGGCGCATGGCAAGTGTCTTCTTGGGTCGCAGATCCAGGGGCTTGTACTTCTTACCCTTGTAGAATTTCCTGAGGTTCTCTTTCTGCGTCTGGTTGATGACTGTGAGAACACGGGCGATGGATTTGCGAACAACTCGGATCTTGGAGAGCTTGGAAGCCGCGCCG